CCCCCATCCCCCTGCGGGCAAGTGAGCAAACAGCTGTGTGACATTTAGCAGCCTGCAGGGTTAAACCACAACAACTAATTATTCTACAACAGATGAAAGCCAGTAGTGACAGAAATAAATAAAAACATCTGAAGAACATGATTTATGGAGAGCTCATGAGAGAAACCCCTGTCTCATTTTTAAAACTATAATTTGCATAATTTATTCAGCATAATAGTATAACAACAGGCAGAAAACTTTAGTTCCTGAACAAAGAATAAAATGTGGCATTTTTTTTCTTAATGCTGCTAAAGTGATGTTTCTTTTTGTGAAAGCAGTGAAATCTAGACTAAATTCCCCACAACAAAATCAAGTGCCAATCAGTAACACCTCCTTAATCTTTTAGTTCTACTGATATTGTACATTTATCCATTATCAATGAGCTTTTTTTTAATTTCTTAATATCCAGACAGGCACCAGGCATTTGTACAAATTAATAGAAGTAGCTCCACAATGTTTCAGCTTCTGCTTGAGATAAAGGATGTGTAATATATTTTCTAACTTTAAAAACTGCTTAAGTAAAAAAAGATCATTTCCCCCTCTCCCCCAAAGCAACTAAAAGACTTTATTGCAGTCAAAGAAATCTAATGGAGGAAGCAACATGTTCAAGTCCTATTTTTAAGTTTACTTCTTGTATGTTTTCCCATCATTTGAAACAGACATTCCATACTCAAAAATAAGAATATCCTTTGAGCGAAGAAGCTCTGTTTCTTCTTCCCATGAGATGCCAATCAGCCTTTTAACTGGATAAACTGTACTTCACTTTCATTCCTCAAGGAAGTTTAACTTCGAGAAGTGCAGCTTCCCAAAATAATTACTCAGGAACATTCTGATGCTAGGTTTTCACTGCCGCCTATTCTTTTACTGTGTACATACACCCTTCCGGGTACTAATATTTACAGTGAATACAGAAGGACAGCAATGCATTATTAAGAATTTTTATAGTGATTTTATCAATACCTGTAGGAAATGCTGCCCAGGCAATAGCAGGGGATGTAGTCTGCTTTTCACCATTTCCAAACTCATAACTCTCTGCTGCCTAGAAACATGAAGAAAATTATTGTTACATATTTTATAAAATGCTATAAATTTCTACATAAATAGTTGAAAATAGTTAAATTTCAAAATTAAGTCATCCAAATAACATACCTCAAATCCTCCAAAGTCATCATCATCCATCTTTCAACTAGTACTAGAGTATAGCAGAAATCCTGATCTAAAAACAAAAACAAAACCACTAAATTATTATATCCCATTTACACATAAAATAGCAATAAAAACTTTGTAAAACCAAGGGTATGGTGTTAGTTTTAAAGGACGGACTCGAGTAGAACAAGTCACTGTGGTCAAACCCTAAAAGCCCAGCAGTATGAAGTAATACAATGCTCTACACTGCAGGAAAATGGGTATATTTCATTGGCCAGTCTCATAAGAGAAATATGCTGATTTTATGATCAGCTAGGAGTCAAAAGACAAAATGACTCATGTACTTGTACTTCAGTTACATGACAGATGAGTAGACACTTTCACTTGGATACAACTGCTACCTAGCTCATCTATGTACTCTTCATAACCTCATCATGTTCTCATTTAGAAATGAGTATTCAGTCTTTCATCCAAGTACCCATCTCCATAGGTTACCTGAAGTCTTCCTAATTTACAAGTTCTACAAAAGATCAAGTGACCTAAATAAGAACCTTTTCACATAGAGGATGCAAGGGCTAGAACTGCAAGATCTCTCTTAAAAAGCACTTTTTTATTGATAGAGATAAATGAAAAAATTGGATATTGCACGATGGAATTTTAATATCTTCAAGGGAAAGGGTAAGCACTGTCTATCAATATTGTCAAACATCTTTTGAAAGCAAGAATGTAGAAAAAGCTTTCCAAGGTAGGAAAACAGAAAGATGGTACTTTAAAAGCTATATCTATTGCTCTCAAGTATAGCAGTCAAGTCCCCAGTACCTCAGAAAAATAGTACTGAAAACAGCAAATAACCTAGTCTGGATATACATTAAAAAAAAGAAGAAAAAAAAAGTCCAGGCAGTAGGGCTTCTGACCATCAGATTCCAAAATGAATAATTTTCTTCATTAGTAATGAAGACAATCCAATTTAATGCAATCACGGTCTACCATGTACTTCATAGTTTTGTGTTTATGATTTAAAATATAAAAATATTTTCCATTGTTAAGTTGCTTTTCCAAATCAGCACTGTGATTAAATCCAAAAAGATTTCCTGCTTTTCCCATCTCTTCTTAGCTGTCTGGCAACATCAGCACAAACTGCAACTTAGAAAAAGACTGTGGTGAATTTCTGGAAATTTTTCTGCTACCACAGAGGTCCTTCCCTAGGTTTCATGGAGGGGCTGATTTAGATTTTACAAACTGATCAGCATTTTTGAGTTGTAGCCCTGAATTCTGTGGCATTTTGATATATTTATATTTAAACTGCAGTTCCTTTTACAAAAATGCAGAATAAGTTACTCAGCTAATGAAAGTAACTCAAGATATATATGGCTGTTCAAAGAAGGGTATAATATGTATTAAAAAAAAAAGTATCATTCTGATACATGAATGAAGGATGATCCAAAAAACCCTTAGGGTCTTTATAGAATGTCAAATGTTTGCAGAGTTAATTGACTTCAGTTAAAATAGACCATAGGCTGGAGAAACTTTTATTATGGTGAAAGCACATGCTCAGAAACATTAGAATTCCAAGGGTGTGGAGGAAATCTCCAAATTAAAGTATTAAAACATGAGAAGGGGACACTTTCAGTTTATATCTACTGCTGAAAATCACTATCAACAAAGAGTTCAATTCAAACACACATCTTCCAAATTTTAACAAATTAATTTCCAACTTCTTATTCATGAACTTAGTTTAAATCAGCACTACCACAATGTAAGCAGACAGATTTAATTAAATTAAAGAGCATTGTTCAATATTCACGTGTGGTATAAGAACTAAATATCTTTTTAGGGACTACAAGGGGTTTTGTTGGGTTTGTGTTGGTTGGGTTTTGTGCTGTTCTATTTTTTGAGAAAGAAGGTAGTTGGGTATTTTTCCCATTGATGTTAACCTTAACCGGTCAAATATTCATGCATTCCATTAACATTCAGAGCTTTAATATATAACTCAAAAAAACCAACACATGCAAACATAAACGACAGCAATGGAAGTTGTATAGGTAGAACACCACTGATGAAGCACACAGCAATGTGCAAACAACTGAGAATGTCAACGTATTCACGCTACCTACTATTAAACGCCATCCAAAAGAGACTGGTGATTCATATAGGTACTGCAAAATGTAGCATTCAATTAGCAATCAGAGCAGTCAGTTGGAGAAAGAGAGGCTTTAGAGAAGCAAAGAGCTATTTTATCTATACACTATGTACCACATCAACATGTCCTACAGGCTCTACTCAGAGTTATTTCAAAGGACCACAGCAGATTTTCTCCCTGAAGAGCAAGAGACATTATTCTCCTCATCTCAGAACTGGTTATGTCTCAACTGGAGAAAGTACATTCCATATTCAGCACTGTGTTTTAAAAAGACAAACTGGAACAAGTTCAAAGGAGTGCAACAGGAGTTAAAGCAATTTTGGAAAGGCACGCTAAAATGGAGAGGCTTTTTTTTAAAGTTAAAAAAGGCAAACAAATATCTATAAAATATGAAAAATAATGTTCTATGAAGTGATTAGCTACTTTCATTTATCATCAAATGCAGCACTGACGTGAGGCAGTAAAGGACAGAAGCCTCTGTAGGCAAAATGTGTGTCAAATACTAGCTAGGATTTCCAGGAATGCAACATAAACGCCTACAAGAAAGTTTATAAGAACCTATGTAAACACAAAAGAGAAGTAACTTTTGATAGAGAATAAGGATGTAGGGCAGAACAAAAAAATGGAAAACAACCTATTGTTGAATCCATCATCTTTGTTATTACATTTCGTACACAGTTCTCGTAAGTCTGGTAATAATCACAAGACTATTTTGACCTAAGATTACCTTACTTTACAAATTTTAACACAGACATTCCATGGCTGTAACAGCATGATTAATGTACGAGTTATCCCACACATCATTTAAATGGAATAAAAGAGAAACAGACTCCAAGCAAATCTCAGTAGTATCAATAGTGTTTTCACACCTAACTGCTAATCCTCCAATTTCCAGTTCATCAGAGATCCCACAGGAATTCTAGGCTAAGTGATTCTCAACCAGCTAGGAAGGACTGTTTGCTATTTGTCTATGTATAATATATATTCACACATGTACACGCACCTCTGTTTTAAAAGACAAAACTAAGTTTTTAATCCATCAAAAAGAAATCCTGATTTGTTTACATGCTTTGTGGTTTTGTTTTGTTTTTTTATTTTGCCTACAGCAAACATCAGAATGAAGCTGGCAAACTTGGCATGTATCACAAGTAAGCAGGAAGCAAATTAGGATAGAAAGCATGGATTAAGTCCTGAGGGATGCTGACATAGTGCACTTCAAAAACTCAAAGGCTGAGGTGTACTTTCCAAAAAGTGTTAGTGCAAAAGCTCTTAATAGGAGACGTCTTTCCAAAAAGATGTTTCTTCTTGCATAAAAAGGGTGCTTTCTACAAGGAGAAGGGAACAGAGCCACACCAGTGTTTTAAGAACTGTTTAAAAAAAAAAAAAATATTAATCAAGCCTATTTTTAATTAGGAGTCTTTCATAGCCCTCAAAAGTACACATGCATTTAGCTCTAAAAAATGTTTGAATAATTCATTATAAACTTATTGATAACAATGCTGAAAATATGACCAAATACACAATTTCTCAATTCCACCCCTTATTCTGGTGATGGAAATGCATTTCTGGTATAAACAAACAGCAGAACTAGCCTAACACCTCACACAGAGCTGCAACAATTTTGGGAGCAGCATTTTTAATCCATCATCTATTCCAAAATGGGTAATCAGACTTTTCTTTCCTCACAGACTAGGAACATTATTTGTGGCACCAGAATAGGAAAGAATACATTAAGTGCTGACAATCTGCAGAAGGATTTAAAAAATAACACAAAAAAACAAAACAACCCACACAGTCTTACCATGACTAAATGTGGTCGCTTAAAATATGCCTGATACTGGAATTAAGTAACTGTAAAATTGGGCAACAAGAAGTCAACCTCAAAATTACAGATTCATAGAAATTATGGTTGGAAAAGACACAGTAGGTCATCCAGCCCAGGCCATTTCCAAAACATTACAGTTCTCAAGACAGTCATGTCCTAAAAGGCTTAAGAAGGTCTCCAGTCTCAGTCCTGTGAAAAGAAGGAAACTTTTCATGGATCATGAATATGTAAGCCACTGCGTTTTCAGTAGATTTTATCAACAAGTTTATAGTCATCAAATCATACAATAATTTAGGCCAGAATTCAGACCAGCAGGTCATACAATCCAAGCTCCTGCTCAAAGCAGAGCATTCAGATCAGGTTGCTCAAGACTTCCTTATCTACAACTGATAACAATGCACAATAAATACCTTCAAACACAGACAGCTGTGCATATTTGAGATGCTTGCAAGCTTTCCTACACAAAATGCAGTCACCAAAGCCTGACCATCAGCTTAATATAGATCATGAGAACTTTGTGAATTGCACTTACCTAACAGACATACCAAAATCATGTTTTTACATATAGGAAGATCAGGAGCCATTCACAAGGAATAAGACAGAAAAATGTAAGCTGGGAAAAAAGCCCCTTTTCCCGTTCCAACTGTTAGGTGGAGGACTGTTGTAATCCCACCAGAAATCCCATTATTCTTCATATCCAAAAGGCAAAAGTGGTAGAGAGACCAAACAGTGAATTAAGAAGGATTCTTCATTCACTTAAAAGTCTACCTTTGGTTAGTAAGGATTCAAATTAATCAAGTCCTGATCTATCTTACTTGATGAATCAAACATAAATTTGCCTCAGTAATAAAGACAACTAATTTTGCCAGTTATATTCAACTGGACAATATATTACCTGGCCTGTAATTTTGAGTAAGTAGCTAACTTGCAGAATTTTGTACATTTTAAAGGAACAACTGACAAAGCATATTGCTGTTTGTTTTGTCAGAACAGTATGTGTGGAACTGGCTGAGGGCGGGGCTGCTGCATTTGTATTTCTGGCAAACACTGCCAGTGGTTAACCCCTAC